GCCTGGCGGCCTCGTCACCTTCCAGAGTTTTCTCCAAGATTCTCCTCATGGTGATAGCTCTGCGTCAACACAGTGGCATAGTGGTTAGCACTTCTGCATGGAGTTTGCATGTTCTGCCTGGTTTCCTCCCACTGTCAGGAACCGGATCTGAACCCAGGAGCCTGCTGGAGCTGGCTGAGGTTCTACCTGCTGAGCCACCTTAGAACCTTGGATAGCTCCTTGCCTGATCTCCTGTGTAGACAGTTAAACCTAATTTCTGCTGAACTCCTTGCTCCTCCCTTGAACTTCCTATTTAATCCCCGCCTCTGCACTTCCTGTTTGCCAGATTATTGTGCTCCTGCCATTATCTTGCTTCCTGCTTCCTCTGTGCTACAATCTGCTCATACTGCTACCCGTGTACCGACCTTTTGGCTGCTGATTCACCGACTACTCTCACAGTCTCCTACTACATACTTTATACCTTTTGGCTACTGACCTCGGCGTGTTCGCTGACTACTCTTCTGCCTGCTCCTCCACCACTTCCGTCTGCTTGTGTACCGAACCTGGCTGCTTCATTGCAGGTTGTAGAGGGTTTGTGGGGCGTTGATTGAGAAGTAGGTGTCAGTGGGTAAAAGGGTTGACCAAGAACAGAGGGTGGAAGAGCAGACAAGTCAATACCAGGAGGCATCAAGCCTGCCTGTAAGAGCGAGAGATGTTGTGGAGTTACTCCCTGTGCCAGCATGTTTTGCACCAACCCTGGATGCAACTTATGGGATGGTCGAACAACTGGCACAACAGGTACCCGGGTGGAAAGGGAGGAGCAAGGAGTTCAGCAGAAACCAGGTTTACCTGAGGATTACACAGGAGATCAGGTAAGGAGCTATCCAAGGTTCTAAGGTGGCTCAGCAGGTAGAACCACTGCCAGCTACAGCAGAGGTCCTGGGTTTGGATCCGGTTCCTAACACCCACACACCTAAGACATGCTGGTAGGTCAGCCCTAGAATGCATGTATACACGTGACCTAGGGACCATAGATTGTAAGCCCCTTGAAGGCAAGGACTGATGTACATGTACAGTACGTAAGTTGTTAACATTATATTGTAATCAATTCCTATAATAAAGAGGATAAAAGGTTTTCATTATCTGGACAACATCCTAGTGCTTGCCAATTCCAATTCTCTTCTGTCTCACAAGTGCACAGTGTTGGCTACCCTTGCCAAGTTGGGTGGCTTGTCAAGCGCCTGGAGCCAGTTCAGTGTCCAGAAAATCTTGGCATGGTTTTCAGTTCTCTTCAAGCCAAAATCTTTCTGCCATCTTGGAAGGTGTGGGAGATGATGTCCAGGAAGTTCAGGAATACTGCAACCGTGATGGCATGAGTTACATTGGCCTTCTGTCCTTGACTATCGTGGCAGTCCCATGGGCACACTGGACCCTCCGCTGAATACAGTTCTGTTTTCTTCATCAGACGCAGAGCTCCTTTAAACTAAATAATTTGTCTCCCAACATTCACCAGGAACGGTCTTCATTGGTGGACGGTTCTTGTGAATCTGACCCATGGTAGACCTTCAGCCCTGGAGGCTGGATCGCAGTTATTGCCAATCTCCAAGGCACATTGTTTGGGCCACAATGTCAAGGGCAGATGACGAAGTCCAACTCTAGAGCAGTCAAACCCTCTTAGGCAGCATTAGAGGCGATGAAGGCTTTCCTTCCTATCCAAGGTCTGCATATCGGAATATGACAGCGACATAGGGGGCCCATTGGGTAGTCACAGGAAATCTTCCTTTTCGGAGCATTGCAGGTGTCTTGTTTGCATCGGCTGAATGTCATGTGGAAGATCTGACGGCCTCTTATCTACCAGAGGTGGAGAATGCCCCTGCTAACAGTGTCAGCTGTCAGTTCTGATGAGTGGATCACAAATCTGAAGTATTCATGGTGGATCTTTCACCTGTGGGGGCTCCAGAGGCGGACCTCATGGCCTCCTTAAAGAATACTCGTATTCCAGTTTTTTTTTCTGATTACTGGCCACATTCCAGGCGCTAGGATGCCCTACTCAGTCCATGGCCATTCAGACTTGTGTACCTGTGTCCTCCCACTTAAATGATCCTGAAGTGCGTACTTAAAATCCAGCAGGAAGGGGTTTTGGCCATCACCATCATCTCATTCTGGCCCAGGTGTTTGTGGCTTCTTCTCTTGTCCAAAAGGATGACTTAGCCCCCATTCCTTTGCTGTGCAATAGGGACCTGTTGTTTCAGGAGGACATCTTTCACCTGCCCGGCCTGAAGATTGAAAACTGAAGGGCCTAGGTCTCTACTCTCCAGTCATTACTAGGCTTCTGGAGGCTACCGAGCTGTTAACCAAGATTACATACTAAGGAGCCTGGAAGACATTTATTGTAGCAGTGAAGAAGGATGAGGGCAGCTGGGAGAGACCAACAATGCCCTTGATTTCCCTCGTCAGCTCTGGATAAGGGACTTGGTCTTAGGAACTTAAAATGTCTGGTGTCTCCCTTGTTGGCCCTCTCCGGGACTTGTTGAGAGGATCACTCTCTGCTCGTTCATTTCCTCAGAGCCGTCATGAACATAGAACCTCCTGTTAAGCCGATCTTCCTACAATGGGGCCTGTCCTTGGTTCTGAAGGGTTATTTTGCTACTCTGTCTTGGCCTCTGTACTCAGAGGAAGTGCTGTGACATCTCTCCACCCTCAGAATGAAGAAGCACTCTGTTTACATTTGCTTGGACAGCGCCCTTCTATGGAGTAAATTGTAGAAGCTTCCTAAACCCAGGAGCTGATTGTTTCAGCATCTCGGGATAGGGCTGTACATTAGATGTCACAGACAGCTGGGGGCCTCCAGCCTTGAATCCGGCTGGCTGCCACAGTTTTAAAATGAAGCTGAGAACTAAAGCGGTTAAAGAAATTTAGCCTAAGTATTGGAATCATCAGAGTACCACCTTTTGCAGACTGATGAACACACTCACCCTTGAAACTACAATCTCTGACAACTCTCCCTTTACCAGCCTCACTACATTCTCTGACAGCTCTCCCCCACCACCCACACTACATTCTCTGACAGCTCTCCCCCACCACCCACACTACATTCTCTGACAGCTCTCCTCCACCATCCACACTACATTCTCT